ACTTGAACTAACTTCAAACTCTAAATTCGATGTAGACACACATAGACACATCCCATCTTTAATCCAAATTATGTCCTTGTGTAACTTTCTTCCAGGAAGATGTGTTAGTCTCCTTATCATCTAGTGCTTCAGTGTACTGTTAGTAGGTACTACTAGAAGATACTTATACATCTTTGACTACATCTCCAAGGTTGCCTCTTATTATGCCAATTTACTAGTATTAAAAGTCGTGACAATTATCGGTCAGGAGGAACCTACTCTTTGTGACAATGTGTGTGTGGCTCTTAGAAGAGCCGTTGAGTAGGATTAACATGCGTTACACTGAGGACAGCTCACTTCTTGGCTGCTACCTTCTTGGGGCTCTTGGCTGCTTTCTTGGCAGCTTCAGGTTTGTTGACCTTCTTGGGGGACGTTTTAGCTGCTAGCTTCTTGGCTGCTACAGGAGCGGCCATCTTAGCAGGTATCTTGGCATTGGTTTCAGCGTTCTTGTTTATCTTGTAGGAGCCGCACGCTCCGGTGCCCCTGATCTGGACCAGAGTCCCCTTAGCTACCAGGCCCCTGATGACAGTCCTGACGCGGGCTTTGTTCTTATCCACATCATAACCTATGGCGGTCAGAGACTTCTTGAGGGCGGCTTATGACACGCCGCTCCGCTCCCTGGATGCGGCCACGGCTTTCACGACGAGCTCACCGAGGGTGGGGCCGTCCTTCTTAGGTCTGGGGGCCCTGCGTTTAGCTGCCTTAGCCCGGGCGGCGGCTGGGGCTACCTCTGCCATTATTTCCTCTTAGCTCAGGCTCAACCAGCAGTAACCAAACACAACAAGCGGACTGTTGGAAAGCTCGGAGCAGGAGGCGGTACTTAAACACACCACGAGAACCGTGGAGACTCAGCCCAGCCCCGGCTCCTCCGTGCAGTCTCAACACCGGGACACTTGTGTTTTCTCCTCACTGAAAAAACACTCAAAACTCACCGTGGGAGAGGTGCTGAGGGCTGACAGTGAAGGGAGCCGATAGCGGACTTTATTCTCTTCATATTGAAGTCATGAACAGCTCTAATAGTTGCTGCATTTTCTTTGTGGAGCCTCGAAACCTCAGCTGTTCACCGCGGTGGCCACCGCTGCTCAGTGGCTTTCCCCACTCATTTCTCTCCGAAAATGATTTAAAATGCACCACAGCTTCACCAAAACTAGTTTTCCAGGTGCTCCACATGTTTGTTCAGAGATCCTATGTAAAAATAACTTCTTGCTTATGACCAGTTTTTAATAAAGTGGAGTTTCCTCCTAGCAGCTAACACACTGCTGATGGCTGAGGCTTATGGTGAAGTTTAGCCAGACTCTGTCAGAGCTGTCAACATTTCATGCGGAGGATGCTGGAGTTTATTGATGACATTAAGAAATACATGTTAGTCTGATGTACCAGGACAAAGGAGAGAGTGCTCAGGTGTTATATGACTCCAGATGAATGTCGAGAATACTTAATTGAAAACATACAAACACAAGAAGTGGAGAATCACATTGTTGGTACTTCAAACACTGTTTGTCTCACTTCAAGTTTTTGTTCATGTTGTTGGGTTTCGGTGCCTTTGCTGTGAACACTGAGACTGATGTTTGAAAATATCAGTTCAATAGATATTGCATCCAGATGTTGCAGTGATGCAGCTGTGTATCAGTATAACAGGCTAGAGAAAGGGGAAAGTAAAGAGTCTTTGCTGAGTGTCATAAGTATTACACAAAAAATAATTTAGGGTACTGCCTTCATGATAAGAACAGTAACCCTCAAAAAGTGACTGACAGCATGGTCAAACAAGTTTCCTCTTGGCTGTACATATTAGAGCCCAGATGATTTATAGGTCTGGCCTATCAAAGATATATTAGTATCGGCGCATATATTCTCCAATATGTGCGGATAGGAATACTTTTATTAAGAAGCAATAATGCAGTGGAAACACTCAGGTCAAGTCAAGTTATATAGGCAGCATTTTATGTATATTTGATCCTATGTTTTCATTCAAGTTAAATATATATATATATATATAGTTGTCACTGAAGAGATTGTTTTCCTCAGTGTATGGGAGGATATGAGATTCGGTGTGATGGCAGGATGGATAGGCCAAACCAAAAGTAATCTTCTAATAATGATAGGCAGACAACCTACAGTCGAGTGACAGTTTCATTAGCTTATAGGAATATTAATTGGAAGATTACTGAGTCACTTTTGGATGAAATATGAAGAAGTTTGGTGGTTGAAGTGTATCTTTTATCATAGGCTAACTGATGTTAAAGTGGACATGATATTGATAAGTGTGATGAAGATTGTAAAAAAACTCTTCAGCTAGTAGATGTCATATCAAATCCCTTTCCTAAGGCACATTTCTCTGTCATACTGGATCAACACAGCATTGCAATCAGTGCAGCTGTCTGACATGAGAATCCCAAAGTGGACTTTTTATTTCACTTGCACCTTGTGATTCTGACAGCAGAGACCAAGTTAGAAAAAAACAAGCAGATGTCAAGGATTCATATTTATGTGACATGGTTCTCTTTGAAAGCTGCGATAAGAGACGGTTATATATTTTTAAGTTAATTTAGTAGTTTCATTTAAAATATATAATAATTCATGATTTATATATATATATATATATATATAATAATATTTAAAAAGATGTGTTTAATATTTCATAGGAACCAATGTGTTGTGTGGGTTGGGGTATGTTATTGTGGTTGCACCCTATGATCAGCATGTGAGACATTGTGTGGGGTTCAATGAAAGTGGCTGATTATTAATGTGCTTCACGTGATGGCAGCACGATAGTCCACCTGCGTTTAATTGGTCGTTAATTTTGCGCTTGCAGCCTTTGAAGCTGACGAACTGTGAGATTATGTTTGTAGCTGTGTTTAGTGATTCTCGGGAAAATGCTTTATATCAGTCGACTTAATTTAAGATATGATTTTTATTTATTCAGTTCTCACGACAGAAAAGCAAAATAACCAACCCAAAGAGCGCCTTGTGCTTCAGCTTGAAGATAGCAACAGCACGGTAAGTTATAAAAATGGCTTTAGTATCACTTTTCTGAGTTCCTTTGACAAAATGCAACATCTACCGCTCAACCTGTACAAACCTCCGACCATTGAAATGTGCCGTACCGGATATTTGCTTCTTTTAGATGAAGTGTGTGGCTCTTAAAAGAGCCTTTGAGTTAGTTCAAGTTGAGCAGCAGAGCTGTTTACTTGGAGCTGGTGTACTTGGTCACGGCCTTGGTGCCCTCGGACACGGCGTGTTTAGCCAGCTCACCGGGCAGCAGGAGACGCACGGCGGTCTGGATCTCCCTGGAGGTGATGGTGGAGCGCTTGTTGTAGTGAGCCAGACGAGACGCCTCGGCAGCGATGCGCTCAAAGATGTCGTTGACGAAGGAGTTCATGATGCTCATGGCCTTGGAGGAGATACCAGTGTCGGGGTGCACCTGTTTCAGCACCTTGTATACGTAGATGGCATAGCTCTCCCTCCTGGTCTTTCTCTTCTTCTTGCCGCCCTTGGCTGCGGTCTTAGTCACGGCTTTCTTGGAGCCCTTCTTGGGCGCAGACTTTGCGGGTTCAGGCATCCTGGTCAGTTACTACTTCACAGAAACAGATGAAACGGTGAAGGAAGCAGCGACTCTTGTTATTCAGGCTCCATGCAAATTAACTGTGTGGTCCCCTTCCTGTGATTGGTTGAACTGCTCACTGGGTGGTTTTGTTTAAATCGGCGCGCAATCTGGAGCCAATTTGTGCAGAGAGAAAAGGAAGCACCAACCCTCCCAAAAATAATAAAAAAAAAACTAAAATTAGGATTGTTTATTCAAATTAAACAAGGAACTATAATAGTATATTTGACAATTTGTAACAAAGATTAAACTTAAACTTATTTGGCGCACAACCAGAGAAGTGGCTAACAGGGAAATCATGCATAAAAGTAAAGGATATGGGGAGTTTAGTTGCATTAAAGCTTGGCAGCAGGTAAAAAGCAGCATTTGTTATAAATGTTTGTGCCATTTCTCTGAATGTGGTGAAACAGAAGGGAAATCAAAATTTCAGTCCATATATGGAAATTTTATTAGATAAATCAATCTATGCATATAGTGGAGTGTATTAACTTACTGCTTTCCATATATATGGGGGATCACCTAATCACAAAACCCAATTAAGGGAAAAATTATAGGTTATAAAAATACAGAAACCCTTTCAGGGAGCATTAGAAGTGCCTGATCTGTAGTTTCAATGCTCTTTGTGTAAGAACATGAAATCAACTGAAGAATGCCAGACACACCATAGTCATATCAAACAGACTGATGCACAGTGACGTGACCATGAAGCACGTCCTGACCCTCTGCAGGGGAAGGCTGCACGTACTGTGACACTGATCTGAGACCAGCATTGATTTCAGCAACCATTACACTTTAATGTTAAACATGGACGTCTCTTGTCAGTTGTTTATTGAAACAACTATGATAAGGAAGTTTGCCGTTTATATAGATGTATTACGGGGCAGTTATTGTTAGGAAAATGATCAAATAAACTCAGCAATACCGTCTGAAATTCACAGGAGTAGGATATTTATTCTTGCAGCGAGGGAACAAGTTACACAAAGAGTTTGCATACAAATGTTCAAAGAATACAAAGTTCACACACGATTTATAACATGAGCATGACCTCACATCATTGCTGATATGAGTCACACTCATAAGACGTGTGTGGGTGCAGTAGCTGGGAAGAACAGATGGTCACTCCCTGATTCTTGTCTTGAAAATTAACACAACTTTATAGTAGGAAGAGTTCACTGTATACAGTTCTTTAGATTTATTATGTTTATCTAGTCAAAATATCATAATATTCCCCAATAGTTGTGTTCTGTTATCATCATCAATTTGTAAACGTTATATACAAAGGACATGAGCCCTCTTTTGTTTAGTGTTATCTAATCATTTTATCAATGAATTCATAATATTGTTAGATCATATACAGAGGATAAAGCTCTTTCTGACTCAGTGTTTGGCTCTTAAAAGAGCCGTTGTTTTGTTTGTTGGTGGTTGAAGAGTTTAACCGCCGAAGCCGTACAGAGTGCGGCCCTGTCTCTTCAGAGCGTACACCACGTCCATGGCGGTCACGGTCTTCCTCTTGGCGTGCTCGGTGTAGGTGACGGCATCACGGATCACGTTCTCCAGGAACACCTTGAGCACACCGCGGGTCTCCTCGTAGATCAGACCGGAGATACGCTTGACTCCGCCACGGCGAGCCAGACGGCGGATGGCGGGCTTAGTGATTCCCTGGATGTTATCACGGAGAACTTTACGGTGACGCTTGGCGCCTCCTTTACCGAGTCCCTTTCCTCCTTTGCCTCTTCCACTCATGTTTACTATATGGTCGACGTTAAGTCAATGGTGATCACTCTGAGCTTCACAGGATTTCAAACCTTGTCTGAGGACGTGATAGAAGACAGAGCAGAGGTGGGTAACTTCTTCTTCTGTGGATTTTCATGGTCGTTGATAATGAAGTCTTTGGCGCATTAGCGCCACCTCCTGAACCGGAGCATGAATCATTCACAGAGAGACTACCAGGACTGAGTTTTTAATGGTGCTGGAATCCTCCTGTTTGTTAGATTAAAATGTTAAATAAATTTATTCAGCAGTAACCTGATGGGGACAAAGTCCTAGAGGCAACAAAAGATAAAAAATATGAATGGAACAGATAAGGCATAAGTTTTTAGATCTATGTTTTCAACATCATAGACTGACAGCATCAGTTGAGTTTAATTTTTTCAGATGTCTATTCTATATATTAAAATCTTGTTCAACAGCATTCGATGAACTATACTTCAACATGTATTAAATGTGTTTACAGTGACTAAAATGCCATTAAATCGCCTCAGTCCATATGCAGCCTATATTCAATATCTCACTTTTAAACTACGTTTTTAAATGTTCAAGTATTTTCAGCTTCAATTCTGTCATCCTCACTCAGAAATAAATAATCTACAATGTTATATGATAGGAATATTCTTCAGTCCTCTTTTTCAGTCTTATATGGTCATATTGTATCATCAGATCTTTATAACCAGTGATCATATATTAAAGAATCTAAATCTCATTATGAAAATATTATTAGTGATGCTGATTGAAGTGTAAACAGCATTTTAATGTTAATTGTTTAATGCTGGTCGAGGTGGACCTCCTTTATAAACCGTTTGGTTTTCGAATCTATAATAATGCATCGTAGTTTAAGAGGATGTGGAGTGATATACTGAAAGTACATCAAGTTGTTTTAAGGTGGAGCAAGCAGCATGAGAATAAAGGATATAGTTAAACACTGACATTATGATTGACTGTCCTCAAGATGATTTATTCTGATGTTCTGGCCTTTAGTGTCTGTGCCAGTTGTTCCACAAGCTGCTTATAAGTCAAACTACTATTGACCCAAAGTCCCCAGTGTTTGTAAGACTAAACAATATCCATTTCAGTGCCATTAGGTGTATGGATGGCAGAATAAATGGGATCTGGAATTAGGCGTCATTGACAATAAAACATCTTGTTGTCAGCAGTCAGTATTAACCTGAGATTCTGTAGAGGTGTCTGAAGATCATTATAGACATTGAAATAGAGTTCAAGTGGAGGAGAAGTTCTTAGCACAACCCAGACTGTGTCGTTTGTTCAGTGCAGTGGTCAAAAGTATTAAAAGCTTTGAATTGTTGTATGGTTTCCTCTCCAGGAGCCGTATAACATGATTTAGCTGTGGTGTTTATTATTGTACTATGTCATAACCCTAAACCTGAATACTGTTGCTGCAGAATACTATTATAGTCTGGACAAAGGTGCCTTTCAAGCAGTGTTTCAAGGACCTTTGAAAAGAGGGAGGCTTTACATATTCACCTGATTCACTCTATACATACTCAATTAATCCTGTGAAGACATAAAATCCTGTGGCAGACAACTTTTTTCATTTGTGTTAGCATAACCTAGATCCACACCTAAATTTAAAAAAGGACTTCCTCCCTGGTGAGCATAACATTTTGATTGTAATTCGTCTTATTTCACAGGAGGAGAAAATTAGATTTCTGAACAGAAACATGTGAACAACACAATAAAACTTGACCAGGCTAGCTAAATTAAGTTGAGCCTAGTTTAATTACAATGAATGCAGTAACAGATCTGTCCATCTCATTTAACACTATTTAACAGAATCAGAAACTTGAAACATTGTAACTGTTATGTTACTATATGTAATGGATTTGGCTCTTTGGTTCAGAGGGAAGTGGCTCTTAAAAGAGCCGTTGTTGATGTTAGAGGAGGCCGAGACTTTAAGCTCTCTCTCCGCGGATGCGGCGGGCCAGCTGGATGTCCTTGGGCATGATGGTCACCCTCTTGGCGTGGATGGCGCACAGGTTGGTGTCCTCGAACAGACCGACCAGGTAAGCCTCGCTGGCCTCCTGCAGAGCCATGACAGCGGAGCTCTGGAAGCGCAGGTCGGTCTTGAAGTCCTGAGCGATTTCTCGCACCAGGCGCTGGAAGGGCAGCTTGCGGATCAGCAGCTCCGTGGATTTCTGGTAGCGACGGATCTCTCTCAGAGCCACGGTACCGGGCCTGTAACGGTGAGGCTTCTTCACGCCGCCGGTGGCTGGGGCGCTTTTACGGGCAGCCTTGGTGGCCAGCTGCTTCCTGGGGGCTTTGCCTCCGGTAGATTTACGAGCGGTCTGCTTAGTTCTTGCCATTTTACTTCTTCTCTCTCTAAACAAAGTAGAAAAGTGTGAGGACTAGAGGCGACGCTCGGCTCTTAAAGCGTGGGACCGGCTGTGAAACGGTGACGCTGCTTCAGATCCCCGGTCCTCATTGGTGACGGGCTCCTCCTGGAGCTCAGCACCGCCCACAGGAGCGAGCCGCCGCTGATCCTCGGCTGCTCATTGGAGAAAAGTCCTTTCGAAATGGCCGCCAAATCTCAGAGCAGGCCGCCCTCTGCTGCTCTGCTGGAGCCTCTTTCCTGGTTGGTCTGACAGGAACAGTCCCGCTCTCTCCGCGGAGATATAAAGGAGGCTTGTGTCAGTGAGCGCCACAGTTTCTCTGAGTTTACTCTGTAGAGATCATATCGAAACAACATGAGTGGAAGAGGCAAAACCGGAGGCAAAGCCAGAGCGAAGGCAAAGACCCGCTCCTCCCGTGCTGGGCTCCAGTTCCCGGTCGGTCGTGTTCACAGGCTGCTGCGCAAAGGAAACTATGCGGAGCGTGTCGGTGCCGGTGCCCCCGTCTACCTGGCGGCTGTGCTGGAGTACCTGACCGCTGAGATCCTGGAGTTGGCAGGAAACGCAGCCCGTGACAACAAGAAGACCCGTATCATCCCCCGCCACCTGCAGCTGGCTGTCCGCAACGACGAGGAGCTCAACAAACTCCTGGGCGGAGTGACCATCGCTCAGGGCGGTGTGCTGCCCAACATCCAGGCTGTTCTTCTGCCCAAGAAGACCGAGAAGCCCGCCAAGAAGTAAATCTGTTGGAAACCACAAACACAAAGGCTCTTTTAAGAGCCACACACTCACCTCTCAAAGAACAGATCCTCGTGTCACTAATGTACATGAATAGTACAATAACTGCACAAATAATACAGTCAGGAAGAATACCTCTTCACCATATCACAGCATCCCACTAGTAATTATAGATTAAAAACATTTGTCAAGTCTATTACACTCTGGCTGCTGGAGTATGCAACTTTTAGATAGACAATACAAAATTGAAGGAACATTAACAAATGTCAAGTAAAGGAGGAAGGGGATGTGTAAAGAAAGTAATATAGACTTCTCTACTATGGTGTAAACGGCTGCACCAGTGTAATGTTGATGTGATATGTTTGGTTCACTGTACAGCAACACTAGTGAGTCCAATTTGCAAGTAGCCTACCATGTATAACTTTACCCTCTTTAAAAAGATTGGATTCAAAATAAAGATCTCATAAATTACCCATAAAAATGTAAAAAAAAATTGCAATTCTTACATTTCATCGTACTAAAGAAGTTAACACAACTTTTACAATCTGTCTGTTTCTCTACACTAAAATGTATATTTTTTAATCTCAATATTTACAGAACAAAGCAGATCATTTTTAGATGATTTAATTTAATTAAAATATAATGCAGTGTAAAATGATGTGATATTAGAAGACTGTGTTGTATAATGCAGCCCAAAATACAACTTAGGCTAATTGTAATTATACTTTGCCAATATCTCTAAACATTGGGTTTTACCATTTGGCCACAAAAAGTTTTGTAAGGAAGTGAATAAAGGTAAAAGACAAGACTCACACTTTTTGTGTAAACATATTAAATTACAACATATGATGATTTTATGAAAAGATTAAATGAGTCTACATGATCTTTGTTTCTAGTAACCTTTGAGAAAATAAAATATAAAAACATGAAATCGTCAGTCTAATGGTTCACTTTGAATTTACCATTACAAATTTTGATAAATGTAAAATAATAAGGAAGTGTAAATTTTTTCTTGGCATATCCACATGACTGATGGCAATGTTATATTAAAGGACGATCTCCCAAAAATACAGTTGTAGTAGGTCATTCAGAAGATTCATTGCCATTTTGAAGTGTTTCAAGAACACAAATGTAAACAGGAATTATTCTGAGGATTCTACTTTGTGTAACTGAACTGTAGGTTTGTCAATCCTGTTAATGTTAATTGTATTAATTAGTGAATGTCCTTTTAATTGTATTACATGTTCATTTAGTTATTTAATAACTAACTTTTTAAGGTTGACTTGTATCTTAAATGTCTATTATAAACAGTGATAATTATCAGTAAGGAAGAACCAGCTCTTTGTCGGATGTGTTTGGCTCTTAAAAGAGCCTTTTTATATTATTAGCGTGTATCGGACGGAGGACAGCTCACTTCTTCTTGGGTGCTGCCTTCTTGACTTTGGGCTTGGCGGCCTTCTTGGCGGGGGCTTTCTTGGCTGCTGGGGCCTTCTTCACCACCTTCTTGGGACTCTTGGCTGCCTTCTTGGGGCTCTTTGCTACCTTCTTAGCGGCTGCAGGTTTCTTGGCCTTCTTGGGAGACTTTTTAGCTGCTGGTTTCTTAGCTGCCACTGTCTTCTTCTTGGCCGCTGCGGGTTTCTTGGCGGCGGGCTTCTTGGCTTTAGGAGCGGCTTTCTTTGCCACCGGCTTCTTGGCCTTGGGCTCCACCTTCTTGTTCATCTTGAAGGAGCCGGACGCTCCGGTTCCCTTGGTCTGGACCAGAGTCTCCTTGGCCACCAGGTTCTTGATGGCGGTCTTGACGCGGACCTTGTTCTTCTCCACATCGTAGCCTCCGGCAGCCAGAGCCTTCTTGAGGGCGGCCGCTGACACGCCGTTCCGCTCCTTGGATGCGGCCACGGCTTTGACGATCAGCTCACTCAGGCTGGGGCCGACCTTCTTCGGTTTGGAAACCTTCTTCTTGGCTGCCTTTGCCGGGGCGGCGGCTGGAGCTGGTGCTACCTCTGCCATTATTTCCTCTTCGCTTTCAATCAACCACGAATGATCACACTGACTGAGCGGACTGTTGGAAAGCTCGGAGCAGGAGGCGGTACTTAAACACACCATGAGAACCGTGGAGACTCAGCCCAGCCCCGGCTCCTCCGTGCAGTCTCAACACCGGGACACTTGTGTTTTCTCCTCACTGAAAAAACACTCAAAACTCACCGTGGGAGAGGTGCTGAGGGCTGACAGTGAAGGGAGCCGATAGCGGACTTTATTCTCTTCATATTGAAGTCATGAACAGCTCTAATAGTTTCTGCATTTTCTTTGTGGAGCCTCGAAACCTCAGCTGTTCACCGCGGTGGCCACCGCTGCTCAGTGGCTTTCCCCACTCATTTCTCTCCGAAAATGATTTAAAATGCACCACAGCTTCACCAAAACTAGTTTTCCAGCTGCTCCACATGTTTGTTCAGAGATCCTATGTAAAAATTACTTCTTGCTTATGACCAGTTTTTAATAAAGTCGAGTTTCCTCCTAGCAGCTAACACACTGCTGATGGCTGAGGCTTATGGTGAAGTTTAGCCAGACTCTGTCAGAGCTGTCAACATTTCATGCGGAGGATGCTGGAGTTTATCGATCAAATTAAGAAATACATGTTAGTCTGATGTGCTGGGACAAAGGAGAGAGTGTTCAGGTTTTTATGACTCCAGATGAATGTTGAGAAAAGTTTCAATGTAAACAAACAGAAGAAGTGGAGCATCACCATTGTTGGTACTTTCCAGACAATCATATACTCTCACCCCCAGTATTTATTACATGTGTTGAAGTTCAGTGTCTTTGTTGTGTAAACTGAGAATGATAAAATATCAGTTTAACAGCTACTCTAACAAATATTGTATCCAGATGTTGCAGTGATACAGCTGTGTATCAGTATTACCAGGCCAGGGTTTACTCATCTGAAAATACCCCAGAGAAAGGTGAAAGTAAAGAGACTTTGCTGAGTGTCATAAATATTTCACAAAGATGATTTTATATATCGTCTTCGTGATAAGAACGGTAAACACATCCAGACCAGCTGTGCCATTGTCCTCAATGATTGACAATGGAGTTACACTTGTTTTATACATAAAGGAAAATACAAATGTTTGTCACTGAAGTGAAAATTCAGTGTGATGAAAGGATAGACGGGCAAAGTCAACAGTTTTCATCTTATACTGATAGGAAGAAACCCTACAGATGAGTGATATTTTCATTAGCTGATTGGCTAGGAATATTAGTTCAGTTATTAATATTGCTTTTGGGTGAAATATGAAGAGGTCTGGTGGTTGAAGTGCGTTTTGTACCATATGTTAACTGATGTATTCAGGTGTGTATTTCAAAAGCACAGCCTCAACAATTTTGACTTGGACATGATATTGAGACAAGCATGAGAAATATTTTATAAAACTAAGCAGTGCGGCTGTTTGACATTAAAGTCCTAGGGTGCAGTCAAGAAGTGTCCCTGTATCTGCACCTTGGTCAACAGCTGTGTCTTTAACATCATTCTGCTTCATAGAGCCACCAGCTGTCAGGGGGAAGCTTGTAAACTGAATCAAACATTTTGCATCTGTTCACTGTTTTTTCAGTCCTTGTGCTAATGTGAGTGGTCATATCTACAAGTGACCTCCTTCTACTTACCGCTTTATCTCTTGCTCATCTTGTCAGTTTTATAATTTCTCTTTCTAAACACCAGCGTTTAGTGTTGAACATTTGCTACTTTTAGATGAAGTGTGTGGCTCTTAAAAGAGCCTTTGACTTGGTTGCAGTTAAGCAGCAGAGCTGTTTACTTGGAGCTGGTGTACTTGGTCACGGCCTTGGTGCCCTCGGACACGGCGTGTTTAGCCAGCTCACCGGGCAGCAGGAGACGCACGGCGGTCTGGATCTCCCTGGAGGTGATGGTGGAGCGCTTGTTGTAGTGAGCCAGACGAGACGCCTCGGCAGCGATGCGCTCAAAGATGTCGTTGACGAAGGAGTTCATGATGCTCATGGCCTTGGAGGAGATACCAGTGTCGGGGTGCACCTGTTTCAGCACCTTGTACACGTAGATGGCATAGCTCTCCCTCCTGGTCTTTCTCTTCTTCTTGCCGCCCTTGGCTGCGGTCTTAGTCACGGCTTTCTTGGAGCCCTTCTTGGGCGCAGACTTTGCAGGTTCAGGCATCCTGGTCAGTTACTACTTCACAGACACAGATGAAAAGATGAAGGAAGCAGCGACTCTTGTTATGCAGGCTCCATGCAAATGAGACTGTGTGGTCCCCTTCCTGTGATTGGGTAACCTGCTTTTGTTAAAGTTCGCGCGCAATCTGGAATCCACTGTGCAGAGAGAAAGGGAAGAAAAGCTGTGGATATGCTTAGGTCAAATATGCAATTGTCATTATTAAAAGCCATGTTAGAAATGGACATTAATAAATTATTAGATTCATTATGAGCAATAAGCTTCAGGAGCAAAATTAAATCACTAAAAGCAGGAGGCAAGCAAAATATAAATATTTGAACAAGAAATTATAATAGTGGCTCTGAGAATTTGTAACACAGATTTTAGTGAGAGAAATAAAATGAACTGAAATTAGAAGAAGAAAGAAGAATATATATATATATATTTTTTTTTTAAATGGGAAAACAAACACACTAGTAACAAAAAAGGAGTTAACATCATCATAAAACCTTAACACTTTCCAAACTTCTCTGTCAAATATTCTCCATCCACCCAACAAAAATGATCAAGAAAACTAAAGTGTGTAAAGTTATTTTGAGAACAACCAGTAGAATACGGGGAGGTAAAGTTGCAGTAGAGCTTGGCAGCAGGTAAAAAGTAGGTGAAACAGAGGAAGGAAATCAAAATTACAGTCCATATTACAAATCAAGATATGGCGATTTTATTAGAGAACATTAATTATGGATAGATTGAAGTGGATTAACAAAAAAATATATATACATATATATATGGTGGGATTACCTAAATATAAAAACCCAACTAATGGCAAAAGAACAGAAGTTATAAAAAAATAAATACTGAAGACCTTTCAGAGAGCCTTAGAAGTGTCTGATCTGTGTAAGGTAGTTTCACAGAGTTGTCATGACAACAGAACAAAAGAATGTAATTGCAACTGTGTATGAGTTCGATTGTGGAACACATGATGC